GCAGTTACATTTATTGAAGGTAACAGGGGAAAGAGCACTCAGCCAGCAGGTTCATGTCTGCAGAAATGAAAAGGTGGCATGCAGTGGGGAGAAGTGGTGCCTGGGTGGTGGGGAGAAAAGGAATGAAGTCAGGGTTTTGGATTTGAAAAATGTGTGCCTCCCCTAGGGTGCCTCTCATTGGATCTCTCTGGATATGATGACAAAATGATTGACAGAATGCTGAGATATCTCAATGGTATCTAGTGCACATGACTTTCCTACAGTTCACTCTGTTGTAATTACATGCATGACATGCAACTGCTATTTATGAACCATTAATGAATTTTGAGTGGGGAAAATGTCACTGTAGGTCAGGCCACAGGAACGTGCTCTGGCCTGGAGCTTTAGAAATCTCCTGGGTCTCTGTTATCTTTATTTCTGTTTGTGTTAGGATAAAGGAGGGAGGATTGGCCCTGGGGTGTTGGCCAAGTTCAGATGAATGGAGGGAGAGTGGTCCCACAGCCCCAATTTTGCTGTCTACAACTAAGATGCGAACTGAATTCTGCTTCCACAACTTGAATAACCGTGATCTCATCAGTAAAATGGGCCTAACAAGAGTCCCTCCGTTCTGCAGTTGAAAGGAGAATGAAATAAGAAAATGCATAGAAAACACCTAACACAATGCCTATCTGTTCTATGCTAAAGGCTGAATGAGTTCCTGTAGCTGATGTTGTTGTAATACCTTTCTGTGCTGAGTCATTCACCTGGTGTGTGCATACCTGGTTCCTGGATTTGAGCAAGATCTCAGCTCTGTCCTCAACTTTTGGCTTCCTCTTTCACCCACAATGGTGCTTACCTGTAGTTGTGCTGTGATTCTTTCCCAGCAGATGCCAATTGGCCAATAACAAATCCTTAGTTTGGAGATTAGATGGGAAACCAAAATACTACACAAAAACTTGGGCAGCTCGCCCTCTAGTGGTAATTTATTGAATTTCCCCCAAACAATTGCCCTATTGATTCTCAAACAGAAGAGCTAGTGGTAAAAAATTAAAAGGATACATTTGGCATAGTTTTTTTTTAAACTTAGTTTAAAAATGAATTTATTAATCACAAACACATAATAAATTAGTATGGGGTATATCTTAGGCAAACGCCTTGAAATTGCAGCAAATACCATCAGAGTATCTGGTGTTTACGTATTTTCTCATGTACTAATTTTCCATTTTACCTAACAGGGATTTTCCAATTTGAAGCAAAAATCCATAATTAGCAATTCAATATAAATCTCTATATCCTATCCCCAAGTAAAATAATTGTAATGCACATAGCCATTAAAGTCTAATCTTATTGCACTCAATATTCTTTTCCCCCGAAAACAGCATTATAATCATTGTTGATAATAGCATCATCTCCTCTTGAGGAGATTTATAAACTTTTCACAGAAATTTTTTTTTACAGCAGGTAGCTATGGCAGCTTTTACTCTCTTGGTTGTATTGAAGAGGAAGCAGGAAGCTTATCTATAAAGAAGCTAAATGAGTTTGCTGTCCTCACCCAGGGTACTTTGCAGTGGACTGAAACATGTTTCACTCCTAGGAATCTCCTTGTGACAAAATGAATTAGATGGATCTTGCCATAAGCCAGGCTATGGCCTGAGCAGTTGTCAGTTGCATCTGAGGTCTGTTCATTCAACAATTTGCCAAATGTATATGGAAAGTCAGCATACAAAAGGCTCTGGAAATGTTATTGCAAAATGTTCATGACAGAAATGTTACTTGTTTTTGTGTCTTCTGATGGCACTTGGCAAATTCAGTTTTATGTGATCTTTCACCTCTCCTTGCTGTTTGTGATCCTCTGACATCTCTCAGTCCTGCCCTCTCAAATTCATGATGTTTGATCTCTTCATGCTGACTTTGCATCTGGGTCTTCAGGCCTCTTACTGCAGTCTATACATCTTAGTTACTTCACTAGTGTCAAATCTAAAAATAAATGCACTATATCTTTTCCCATCCATTTTTTGCCCCACAGTTGAATTGCTAAGAATAGCAATCCAATAAAAACAACTCATACTACCTTGTTAGAATCTAGTAATGGTTTAATGCTCTTTAGATATAATGTTATAATATCTTAGTTCAAGGTAATGAAATTCTACTGGTGAAAGTTTAGTGTGGGAAAATGTTTGGTGGTAAGTGTGACTTTATGGATCCTTGGTATCATAACTTTTGTTTATTTTATGAAAAAATTCCATTAGTTCTCTTGAAATACTTTATTATATAACCTTGTACTATGACTACTAAGAGAGTAAAGAATAGAGGGGATAACATTTAGAAATTATTTTTCCTGTATTGAATATCTTTTCTCTGGCTATTGACAAACTTACAACTAAATACTTCTTCTCTGATATCTAAAGCAAGGAAACAGAAGAATAGACCATGAATCCGTGAAATGCAATGCACATTGCTCACTTGGTACTAAAAAGGAAATGAATTTACTGTATATTCTCAAAACCTGTGTGATAATGGTAATTATAATAACAGCTGAATGTGGCAAATTGTTCTTTAGCATGATTGTTGTGGCTCCGGAGCAGATATTTTGATTATCTTCAATACTAACCATGACGTCATTCATGGGCCAAACTAGCCTCTTGACATTGTAAAGGTGTATACTGTGCAATAGATAGTTCACAGAAAGTAACTAAGGGAATTTAGGAAACAAATGGAAAAATATTTCCAACATTTTTTTTTGTATCAAGTAGGTAATAATAGAATTTGTGTCTATTTTGCTAAGTCAAATTTGTTAATTCAAAAGTAGTTATCATGCATCTTAGGGTTCAGAGAAAACCAAAAAAAAGGTCTATGGCTCTGTTTTTATTATCTCCATGTTTTCTTTGTTTCTGTTAATCAGCATTTAAAATAAAGTTATGAAAAATATATTTTTTTCTTAAAACAGTGTGGCATTAATTCTTAGTTGTTTTAATGCATGGGGACAGTATCACAGATAATCCATAAAATAGAATAATATAAAATTTATAGTAAGATGAATAAAACTATAAATATTAAAATTACATCCAATCAAGAAATGTATTGGCAGGAAAAATTTACCCCTTTCTACTCTCAAAAGTTATTAGAGTGACAAATCATAAGTAAACAATGCAATGCCAAAGCGTGAATAAAAATGATCCTCAAGAGATAGCCAGTGATCAGCATACATTTAATTCAATCTATTGTACCTTCTTATCTTTAACAATGAGCAGTAGTCATCAAAATCTATAGTGATTTTGAAGTGAGTTGTTTATTTTGTACTCATTTCTAATGAATATCTTACATATCATATGAGGAATTGAAGTAGCTTAGATACAAAAGCCCATATAGAGCAGCACAGTTAAAAATGAAGTCATAAAAAGACCTCAGAAACCATTGAGTTCAAAATCATTCTTGAGCCATAGAACCCTCTGAAGATCTATAAAGAGCTATAAAAAAATCTCCCCAGTAAAGTGTGCCTATGCAAAAGGCACATCGTTTTGCCAACAACCAGAATCCTACCTAAGAATCCTTTCCCTTGTGTCCTAAGAACACCAGCTCAATCACCCTTCATGTAGAAAATGTGAAATCCTGAGGTGTGATAGTGATTATACTTGAACACTACATTTAACTATGAACTTTCTATATACTGATGATAAAACTTATACTGTTATAGAGTTCTCAGCATCCAAAAAGGGAAACAGTTCACCTCACGAAATTATAAGCAAAACATAATTTTGAAATGGCAGTGTTTGCATATTTTATAAATGAATTATTTTACCTAGAGTAATCAAGAAACAAAAGGATGTAGCATAAATGATAAAATCCATTGAAAATTAGCAATTGGGGTAGAATATCTATGCTAATTATGTTGACTAGTGTATTAAGTTAGGCACAGCATCTTATTCTAACCATTTTGGAGCAGAGAGAATTTCCTGTACATGTTTTTCTTTAATAATAGATTTACCCACCTAATGCTATTTGATTAAAGCTGACATTAATGTATTCCCATGAACATACCAGCTCAGCAGCAAGCGAAGCTTGAGGGTATATAGAGAAATCAACCCATGATTAAATATCTGCTATTAATAGGTTATACCATGGAAAAAGTATCACATACATAATAGCAAATAATCATTTTAGGTGTGCTTGGCTTCCAATCCCAGCATTACTTCCTCAAAGGCAAGTAAATACCACAGTGACTTTGTCACAATTAAGGGAATAGGCATTCTACAGTAAGGCCTAAGAATACATTCTCTGGAATCAGAGTTCATTTTTTTTTACCATTTATTGTATGTATGACCTTAGGCAAGGTCATTTGACTTCTCTGAGTCTCAGTGTTCTCATCTGTAAAATAAGAACACGAGGAATGTTTATTTTAGGCCCATTCCTCCACTGTACAGTGGTCTCTTGGAGATATTTGTTTTGAGGGGCTCCTCCCTTATAACAGTTTGAGTCATCTAAAACCAACACATCCATTCATTCTAGCATTCATTCAATTTTATATGATCCTATGAAGGAAATACTGCATGACTAGCAGAAGCAATTCTTTTTTTTTTTTTTTTTTGGTACCAGGGATTGAACTCTGGACCTTGCACTTGTGAGGGCAGACGGCAGAACCACTGAGCTAAATCCCTGGCAGAAGTAATTTTTTTACCAGGCCACTTTGCTGGAATTGGAACTTGGACATGGGTCCTTGGGACAGTTCTATAAGACATGTATGCTGTAAGCTCCTTGGAAGATCTGGTGTACTCCCAGCTGAAGGCTATTGCAGAGAATTGGAGAATGACCTGAAAACACAGAGATAGAGTAGGGTCTCTGCTTGCTAAAGTCTTAGAGAGATATAGGTCTATGTCATAGGGTCACTGATACGTAAAGCACTTGACTTAGTACCTGGCTCACAGAAAGTCCTCAGTACGTGTTACCAACCATTGCTGTTCTCACTACTATTATCAACAGTGCTCACTGAATCTCATGCTTCATTTTTTCTGTTGTTTTTCCAGTGGATGGCTGTATTGACTGGTCAGTGGATCTCAAGACATACATGGCTTTGGCAGGTGAACCAGTCCGAGTGAAATGTGCTCTTTTCTACAGTTACATTCGTACCAACTATAGCATGGCCCAGAGCACTGGGCTCAGGCTTATGTGGTACAAAAACAAAGGTGATTTGGAAGAGCCCATCATCTTTTCAGAGGCCAGGATGAGCAAAGCAGAAGATTCAATATGGTTTCACTCAGCCGAAGCACAAGACAGTGGATTCTACACTTGTGTTTTAAGGTAAATGTTGTGTGAAAATATTGTTCAATCACATGACTAGTAGTTTTTTGATCAAAACAGGGATGTTGTGCCTCACATTATACAGTGAATATGCTCTTCAAAGGTTTCAGTGCATACAGAGGTTCAAAAAATTTAATTCTCATCATGTATTGGACTACTTAGAAAATTGTTGTCAGAGTATCATAAATTAGGACTTCTGATTACTATCCACTCATTTAATTTAGAAAAATTTGTTACTCATTTCTTTCTCAACTTCACTCCTGCCTCTGGGTCTTATATTAACAATTACTTTTTCAGAAAGTCAATTGGCTTAATAATCTTGACATCTAGTCATGAAAATGACCTTAAGTATCATTCAGAATAAGATCTCACCTTTTTTGTTGATGGAAAGCAGTTTTGAATCCTGCTGGGTACCTCTTTACAAAGGAGCTACTGATAATATCCTTCGTAGAATTTGCAGTGTGATTTTGTTTTGACTGTGTCTATTTATTCAACAAAAAACTCCATAGACTCAGTTATCCTTAATTTCTGGATACTATACTGGGAAGATACCACAGACATAATTTTTGCTTGTAAGAAGTTTACAATGAAAAGCAATCTGTTTTATTCTTAGGAATACCACAATATGCCCTTTCTTCCAACTTCATCTCAATGGTAGGACTTAGGATCTAGCATCTCAAATACTCAGACAGAGACTAGATTAAGCATTGAAGTAGCTAGCTGACATGACCTTTAAATCACCTTTCAATTCTACCATTTTGAGAGTCTCTGATCTGGCTCACCAGGGACCTGCATTCTACTATTTGATTTTAGCTTCTTGGAAATACAAAATCCCCCTATTTTTGTCTCTTGTGGACCTTGAGGCCAAAGCTATGTCCCTTCTTCATCAAAAGCACTTGGGACTCCCTGGTGAGGCCTCATTGTTCTAAAGGCCAGGAGAACAGGTGATATATAAATACAAAAACTTCTTGATACCTTTTGGTGGGGGGATGAGAACTGGGAGAGCAAATGATGAGTTTAGTTTCTGTTTGAGGTAGGCAAAATAGCCAGGATCTTGGCAAAAGCAACAATCATTCTCATTATACCCTCAGTGATAAGCAATGTATTATTTTACTTGGGTAGCTCTTGGCAAAATTGAGAAGTGTAATTCGGTTTTAGTGATTGATACTATATTTTTCAGGATGCAGGATGTCGGTACACTTTCCCTGCTCATTCCCTCTACTTGTCTACCTCTATCTGCTTTTCTGTTTGCTGTTTTCACAAATTTAAAGTTTATTTGCAAAGCATTATCCTACTAACATCCACAAGTGCTAAGTTTATAATAAGATCAATATATCTTATTACTGTTGATGTTGACCTTGATCACCTTTCTTGAGATAGCAATGGCCTTTTTTCCACTATGAAGTTCTTTATTCCTTCCTTTCCATACAGTAGTCTTTGGGAAAAAAGCCATCATTCACAGTCCATGCTTATGGAAGGGGTAGTTAAGCTATACCTTGTTAAGGACAAAATATCTACATAAATGATTTACAGTTCTGCAGGGGAAATAGATCTCTTCTCCTCCCTTATTTATTTGTTCAGTCATTTATATCATATGAACTCAAGGATATTTATATTATACATTGGTTTTTTTTTTTTTTTTTGGTACTGGGGATCGAACTCAGGTCCTTGCACTTGCGAGGCAGACACCAGAACCACTGAACTAAATCCCTGGCCCAATATACATTGGGTTTTAATGCAATACTACTATATTTTCTTGCTCAAATTTTTTCACATTTGTCCACTGGAAGCGATTTCAGTTGTCTCATTGGTGCCTTTGCTATTAACACATTGAAAATTTTGCTGAGGTTGTTTTTTTAAGCATTTATTTACATTATAAAAAGATACTTCAGGCTTATCTTATGTATTTCCTGCCCAGACTAAGAATCAGCTATTTTTTTAAAGATCCCTGATACCTTTTAGTAAAGAATGCTAGTAGAAGTCAAGATTTGAGTGCTATGTGTGCTCATTGCTACTAGTGTTGCTACTTCTAGGTATGCTTAGCTAACAAACTATTTGCTTTTAAACAAAGTCTTTCACTGTTTCATGCACAGGTCCCCAAATGGTAAAAGAATACTCTCGAGATAGTGGCACTTCCCAGTGTACCTAAAATTCTCTTCTATAAGTGGCCCTCTTTTTAAAGTTTATATCAGGTTGACCTTGTTTATATTTGTTGTAGATAACCATTTGAGTCAGTAGTTTTCAACTCACATGTAGATCAGTGGAAGAGAAAGGGATGAATTCTGCTAAGTAGAAGCTTAGATTCAAGCAAAACTGATAATTTCTTTTATTTATGCAGCAGGTCTTAGGGACCAATTGGAACTGATTGGGGTTGGTGGAACTTTTTATTCTAATGCTTTATGTCTTGGTAAGGAAAAAACAAAGTTTGCATAGCACTGTTTTAAAGGAACCAACCCATCTTGTCAACTCAGAGACACAGAAATCTACTCTAGTCCACATAATTGAGATTTCACACTGAATAATGAGCACTTTTTCTGATCTAGTTGCAGACACTGTCTTCAAATAGGCACCAAGGTAGAAGTTCAGTGCATATAGGTGATTTTATAAAATTGTCAAGAGTGACATTTATGAATTAAAAAGGGCTTTTAAATTGATAAGGTCAATATTCACCTAAAATCCCAAATTTATTATAATTTTAAGATCATCATGAATTATTTTTATATGCTTTATTGACCTCATTAGAAATTATTCTGATTTAATTGTGCTTAAAATACAGATATGAAATATTTAGTAATATTCTCCACCCATTTGAATCATAGAAAATTTAATTTTTTTGATCTTTCAGTGACTAATTGCACCCCTCTTTGAAAAGAATTTTGGCCAGTGTCAATAGGAATCAGTTGAATTTCTTAGCATGTTAATGGGCTAGTAACAGAAGCATAGTGAAAGACTGAGTCATATTTTGAGAAGCAGTACAAATCCAAAAAATACTATTCTCATCCTCTCCACTTCAATCTTCTTAATAGAGGCACTTAATAGGATAAAATTGATGAGAGTAATCTTATTTGACAAAATGCCACATATTGCTCTCTCAAAAATTTGAAATAAGGGGTAACTTGAGCTATGGATGAAGATACCTCTAGTCCTATAATCTTGAGTTGAATTCCTTGATATTAAAAATTACAATTAAATATAATTAAGCATCTATACAAACCTGTATCTTTTGGGAAAAACCATGGCCACATACAAAGAACTAGTTACAGATTCAAATATATTAAGATCAGTTGCCTCTGCAATGAGGCCAAGACATTTTCAAGGACATTGAACATTTCGTGTAATTCAATTCCAACTTAACTATTGATCCTTGAAAAGTTAAGTGCCAACAAGTCGGTCACCTGGGTAGCAATTTTCACGAGAGAAGATAGTTTCTTGTCAGAAAAATGGATCTTACCGAATTAACTGACCTCAGAAAATGTCAAGACTGTAGAACAGAGTCTTCAGACAGTAACAACACCTACTTTAGTCTCTGTATGTTAAACTTAAATACAATTAGTTGTGCTTTTTATTTTCTGTTAATAACAAGAGTCCCTGATTTCATTATTTTTGGTAGCAATTATACATAAAATAGCACATATCTAACTTGACTAATATTATTTTTAACTTCCAAAATTTGATAATATTCTTGTTTATAAAATTATATCTAGCTTAAAGTAGAAAATAAATAGCAATTTATTTTATTTTTATTTCATAACAGTGAATTAGACATATTGCAATTTTAGACATTTAACTATACTGCTGTATATTGGCAATATAATACTCAGAAATATAGGCATTCTGTTGCACATTTCCAGTGCAATTTCAACTCCATTCAGTTTATTAGAGAGAAGCAGATATTTATAGTCAGTTAGCAATATTATTTGATTTATAAAAATTAATGGTTTATATTTTATAGTCATACAATAATTGATTTCAAATTGTCATTGATGATTTGGCTAACACTGATATTTGTATATACTTTTTAGTTTTATCCCTTGTATAATTATATGAACTTCAGTGATGTTCTGTTTTATGTTTATTTTGTTAAAAATTAAAGTTTTAACCTATTATATGGGTAGCCAACTCAAAATCTTTTTTGAGGCCAAAAAGGTAAGTAATATAGTGAGTATGGCAGGTCACCTGAAACATTTTGGAGAGTGGGATATTGTAAAAATCCCCTCAATAAACTCACTTCATGTATTCTACTCTCTTGCCACCACCTCCTATATTTTCTACCTCATTATTTTTATATCCTATATCTAATACTCTGTTGATCCCACCCAGACCTCCAGCTCATTATCCTACAATTTTTACTGACTTTTGTTTATTCCCACCTAGCATATTAAAATTCAATGATCAGCCATTATAATCACTCCCATATATATAATTTCTTATGAAATTCACGCTGTTTAAGTCTAACTATCCATCTATTCTATGCCCATATTCTTGCATCTGAAATCAGATAAACATCAGTACAATTACAGTGGGAAACCTCAATATCCCACTGTCACAAATAGACTAACTAGATTAAAAAATATCATGCAGAAATATCAGAGAAGAATCAAACACTCAAACAAATGATCTTAATAGATATCTACAGTGTTCCACCCAGCAACATCAGAATACACACTGTTCTCAGCAGTATATTGAACTTTCTCCAAAATACACATGTTAGCCCATAAGCATGCTTAGGTAAATGGAAAAGAATTGAATTTATCCCATGTATATTGTCATATAACACTGCAATGAAACTAGAAATCAATGGTAAAAGAAAACACAGTAATTGTGCAAACATATAGAAATTAAACATTGCACTCTTTAAGGATCACAGAATAAATCAAGAAAGAAATTATAGTTCCTAGATAGATCAGATGTTACAGCTCTGAATGCCCACATGAAAAAAAGAGTGAGCCCAAATAAATAATGTAATGATGTACTAACAATAATTAAAATCCAGAGCTACT